TCTTTGGTGAAGGTGTGTGAATTTTCTATCATATCCATACAGAAAGTTTCAGATTGTCTAGGATAAGTTTCTCTGATCCATATCGTATCTAATCATACTATTTGAAAAAGAAGTAAAATAGTGCTAATTAATATAAAATAACTAAAGTAATCTAAAATAGCATAAATTTGTAAAAGAAAAAATGATAACTCGTAAAATATAAAATAAAATCCGAGTTAACTTAATCCCCTAATTAGCATATTTCCATTGGTTTTTGTGACCTTCAGCACAATAGTACTTAAAAAAGAAATAAAAAATCTTTTGCTTATAGTATGCAATAATGAAGATTATTGAAGAAAACCCTTTTTATGTAATGTAAGTTTGTTTAAAATTGGATTTAGAGAAATTGTTTAGCATGACTAATCTTCATACAATAATAAGATGCTCTGTTGGAGGTTTTGCCACAAGGATATTGTTGCCTATTACATAATAAATAAGAGGTTTTTCGGTCTTTGGATGTATGTTATCGTTATCAGAGATTTGCTGTATTGTTTGTGATTCTAATGGAAATATCAGAGTAAGTGGATTAAAAGAACAATGCCACTTTCAGTATGTAATTAAGTATAATCTTTGTCTTGCTCTATTCCCATTTTCCTGATCTAACAACCATAGTAAAGGAATGCTTGTTACTGATTGCTGCATGCAGAAAGCGATGAGTCGGGACATTAGCAATCATTGGTGAGGCGTCTTGTGGCTTGCAAGTGGAAAAGGCAAGGCTAGGCTTTTGTTATTCTTAGGGAAAACAACCCGGTTCTCTGCCGGCTTGATAGTTGAAAGTTTGTGAATAAATGTGTTACTGCATCTTTAAAACTGTGTTTATGTCTATATGTGTATAGGAGTTAGAACTCAAGGCAGTCATTGCTTGGAAATTGATTGAAATTGCTCTCGGTCTCTCTTTGAAACCAGGGAATGTAGTGTACATGCATGCAGGGCTTGCTACAAAGGCTATGCTTTGATTGAATGTTTTTCAACCTTTATTATGTCTAGTTAAGTTTATCATCCATACAAGGGCTGGCTCAGTTTTAAATAAATGTTAAAAGAGGGTTTAATATTCTGAGAAGTCTCCAAATCTTATATGATGTGCATATGCAAAGCGTGTTAGTTGTAATATGAGAAATGAAATAGTGGCCAAATCCTATATGTTATTAAATTATCTGTGTATCCTCATCTCCTAATGCAGTTTTGTTATAAGCTTAGTTTTAGCAAGGATATCTCAAAGACAATTTGTAATAAGATTTTTACAAGTTGGAAATTGAAATCTTATAAAATTTGACTTTAAATCTCTTAATTTGGAAAACGAGATTTATATTGTCAATATAATTTATTAATCAAAGTATTACTTATTATTTTATATAATTCAAAATTAATGTGATATGTTAAAATGTTGTAATGAAAATTTAAAATTGATGTGATATGTGGAAATGTTATAATGGATTCTGACGTAACAAATTGATGTGATATTTTTAATTTTCATGTTGATGTAAATTTAAAATCACAAGTAATGTTTTAGTTAATGATAATTAATTAAAGGAAATAAAAGAATAATAGTCTATTTGAATTTTTTTAAATAATTTAAAAAAAAAATTAATTTGAACTTTTAATATTTTGAAAAATATTAAAAGAATTAAAAGAATAAAATTATTATATTACTAAAGAGAGTCATCTTTAAAGCGTATAAATTATAATAATGAATTTTGAACTATAAAAATGTAAGATTATCAAAGCAAATCTCGTAAAGAGGTTGCATGGGCATTGGTTAAGGGCAAAATACCATATTATAGTGTAATATTTAAAAGCCAAAGAGGAGAATATAGTCAATTGGACATGGGGAGAGGGAGAAGGAATTGAAAATTAAGAGCTCCAAAATCCAGGCGAAACACATAATAAAGAAAAATAAATACAAAAAAAAAATGGAGTCTGGAAATTAGACACGACTGCAAGTTGAAGGGATGGAAGGGAGGAGCGATGTGGGGAAAGCTTTGGGATTGCTGGTATGTGGTACGTTGGTGTACTACCACTGTGCCTACAGGAATTCAAGCCTTCTATCTCTCTTCTCCGATGTCTTAATCGTTCTCCTCTGCTCCCTCGCCATTCTCGGCCTCCTCTTTCGCCAAATGAACATCTCGTACGTTTTTATTCTCTTTTAATTGTTTTCAGATTTCATGGGTTTCTTTCACGATTTCAGATTATTTGTTTTTTGGGTTTAAGCCTTTTGTTAAGATTGGAAACTTCTTTTTGCTACTTTACAGAATCGTGTTGAACTGGGTTTCTGCTGCAAAGGCCAAGAAACCTGTTCTAATTTATTGATGGAAAGGGGATGGGTGAGGTTTCATTCGAACCCGAGATCTCAGCTCTGCTACCATCTTATAAAGAATAGCTAAAACAAATAGGAAATGGCCTGAGTTTTATGTTTTGAGTTATAGTAATAAGCTGATTGATAGTTTTACAATTCCTCTTGTTAATGGGGATTGGTGAAGTATGGACATTCAATGGCTTTATTCTGCTTTGGTTTTGAAGAAATGGGTTAATTTAGATCACTGTCTTCCCCTTTTCCTACCAAATTGATAACTCTCATTTATCATGTTCTCAATTCTCTCTTAACACTCCTATGGTGGTAATTAACCTCGGTAATTTCTAAATTTAGTGTTTTTTTCGTTGCTTGAATTAGGGTGGAAAGAGGAATTGTGCATGGTTTTGTCTATGTATTACTGTATTATTATTTATCATCTTGATAATGCAGTACAACAATATGCTCATTGAAGGGTTTAGCTATTGAGACAGTTTTTTTATTATTATTATTATATTTCTTTTATCACTGTGATTGTAATTTTTACTAGCATCTAGGGAATTATTAGGGCATTATGGTTATCTTGACATTTCGCAATATATGCTCTATGAGTGCCTATATCATTTCAGTTTGTAATAGGCATCAATTGTGGATCAGTGAGATTTGAATAGTGAGTGTTGTGATTTCCCATTGTTTTTCCTCTTCTCTCTCTCTCTTCCCTTGTTCTGCATCACTTGAACTGCTCTTGAAATTTTGTGCAGTGTAAATCAAATGGCCTCTTTATGATACCTTATGTACATATGTGCATGTTGATTTAACTGGGATCAGGCATACAATTTTGCATTTTCATTTTTAACATTGAATTTGATTCTTAAACTATTACATGGCATCTGAAAATGCTGTTTTGTAGGGTACCAGTAGATCCACTTGAGTGGCAGATCTCGCAGGATGCTGCTAACAGCATTGTTGCATGCTTAGCTAATACTGTAGGGGCAGCAGAGTCAGTTCTAAGGGTTGCAGCAACTGGGCACGACAAGAGGCTATTTTTTAGGGTGAATTTTTACAACTTAAATTGCTATCCACTATAAGACCTGCTATCTGAAATCTTTCACTTTTTAGATGTTAATTTTGCTGCTTTAGTTTATATTTTTTTGAATATCCATCTTGAAGGGCCTGATACTGCTAAGCTTTTAAAGATAAACACCCTTCTCCTTGTAAACTGGCCACCCTCTCTTTTTCTTTTTAGTTGAACTGCTCATTCCTTTGATGTTATTTTGAAATTATAATAAAATTGTATTGCAAAGAAAAAACGATCTTCTTGGTTTTCTATTAATCTTGTGCATATCCTCCTTCAGGTTGTTGTTTGTCTTTACATATTGTCAGCTGTCGGACGATTGGTCTCAGGTGTTACGGTTGCTTATGCCGGTATGTTTGCCATTAGGTTTCATTTTCTGTTGCTGAAATCAATGGAAACTTTAATTCTTGTAGCTAAAACATGAAAGATGTTTGAACTGGTGAACGTTGAATGAAACACACCCATTTGTCTTGAGATCCAGTTAAAAAACTTTTGTTCATTAAAGCACTATGAGGTTAAAGGAGAATTGGTTTTATACATTGGGGAATTTCATTTTTCTACTTTGAGCAATCACCTTGCTAGCAATATTTTTTAAATGCCATGGAAAATCACCTACAACATGACAGGATATTTGAACATGCCCAAAATACATAAGGGATTTGCTGGCTGATCATTATAAACTAACAAAGCAGACATTTTTTATTTATAAATTGTTCACAAGAGACTCAACCAGCAATTTTAGCTTGTTTGATTAAATAATTTTTAAAAATCCGCATGTCTTTGATCAGATGTATGAAAATTGTCCAATTCTTTTTGTTCTGTGAAACAGGATTATGCTTGTTCTGTCTTTACATGCTTGCTGAGAACTCCCAGTCAATCAGAACATGTGTTCCTCAGTTACAAAGGCAAAGAAATGGCACCACCGTCGAAGAGGACAATATGTAGTTGAAACTGCAGTTTGAACACACAGTCAGGACTGCAAGTTGAAGGTTTTGAACTTTGTTTTAGATCAGACCAAGCCTTGTTGTACCATTTCAATACTCAGGCTGAGATTCATAATGCTTTACTTTTCCTGTGGTTGATCAATAAAATTTAGTTCATTTATAATATGTAATTACCCAAAACATAATACAAAATTTTGTTTTTCCTGTTTTGTGAGATTTACAGCTGCAATAGCTTTTGTAAGAACAATGTGAGTATTTCAAAGAGAAGATATAAATCTGTCTATTGTCAAATAGGTATGCACAGATTTTCATTTTGTTTCAGATATGCAAAAACCCTGTAAAATACACCAAGTACAAGAAACTGACAAGTGCATTGCCTTCTAACACTCAAATAAGTGTTTTCCCTTGTTGTTTCATTCCTCTTAAATGGTAAGAGGGAAAAGAGCAAAATACATTTATCCTAATGCTGAGTGAAAAACATTTTTAAATAATACCCAAAGGGGATTTTTATAATTTACTTTCAATTGAAAAAACCTTTTACTGCACCTAAACAGTTAGCAATGCATGTATTCCTTCCTTTCCCCCAATTTTTATTTTTTAAAAAGTAAAAGAAAGACCAGATTATGCAGAAAGGATTTCCCACATTGCTCAAGACTTTGCCAAAAACAATTAAGAGACCAAATTGGTCAAAAAATTTTATACTAGCTGTCATGTGATATAAGATACCTGTTGGTACATGTGAATATTCAATGCAGCCCCAAAATTGAAGCTCACCCAATGATTCTTTAGAACTAAATAACAGAAATTCCGTAAAAGTTGCCAGGTCATCGAGATAAAAACTGGCAGCTCATACTTATAAATACCTTCAGCCCCTTTGCATTTCATCCCAGATCTTTCCATAAACAACCCTGACTCCACTACCCTCCACTTGCACTCTCAAGAGAGGAGCCCAACATCAGTCTCAACTAGTTACCTATGGCAAGTTTTGCTGAAGCCATCATAACATGCGCTTCTCAACAACCAATATGTCTTTCCAAGCTTCATAAAACATCCAGGTGATACCAGAGGAAGGCATTACTTTCAAACAGCTAGCACCCCACCCCCTATAAAGACCCATCAAGCCCTCATCCCGAATCACTTCAGCAAGAGCTGCTGCCATGTTTGGTGGACACTTACCCTGCAAAGCTCCCACCATCAGTCGTTTTCTGGCAACTTCCAAGGGAAAGCTGATGGTGCTAGCAGTAAAACCTGGCCACATCAATAGATCCCAAAATTTAGCTGTTATGTGTTGATGCACTCATAATCAAGTCAAATTATGAAACTTAATTCTCTGGTTCCTATACCATATCTATACTGAGTCACAGCTGTACCATTAGACCCAATTATCTAATTCTCTTGCAACATGAATTGATCACTAAGAACAGAAGGGGATGATATATTCATTAAACATCAATCATTTTTCTATGTTTGCCATGGGAAGCATTGTACTTTTCCCAAATTTCAGACAGTACTCCAGATGCCAGGATTGATAGCCTTTTCAAAACAACTCAAGATAACAAAAAGGCAGGACTGGAAAAGTTGTGTTTCATTATTTTTTGAAGAAAAAAGAAAGCAAGCTTTATTAATGATATCCAGAAAATCCCAGAGAAATTTTCCCAACCCAGAGAGTCAAGGCCAAGATTCTCTCACCTGCAAGAGCTCCAGCTAGCAGCATCTCTGGGCGATTTAGAGATTTTTTTTTCTTTGATTCGCAGTAGGATTTCTTTAATTTTTCGTACATGAAATAGTAACATGTACTGTAGGGAAGCATGCCAATTAGCGTTGGAGAGATACCAGCATAAAAGGCACCAATCCCACCATCCTTGTAAATCTTGCTAATTGCAATGCTTAAGCTAGGGTATATGTCAGGACTGACAGTCAGCCTATCCTGTAAGAATTACAAAGAGAACAATCAGCTCCATAGGCAAAACCATATAATGAGAAAACACTATGATTTTTTCGATGTGATCAGATTCTGAATCAATTATCTTCCCAAGTGTCAGACAAATAAAGATAGGCCAATTAACTATTTACCCACAACTGCTCAGACTAGTGAGATAGTAAGAGGAGACTGAAGCAGTAATAAGCATGATGAGTTGGAAGACATCATTATATAGTCTATACCATTAGATGGACATGATTGTCTGTAGCTAGAATTCAAAGGGGAAAACCTAGAAAAAAAAATACAGCTAGATGTAGAATATTCTGTTTTTTTTTTTCAAAAAAAAGAAAATAAGAAATATAATAGCCAATGCCTGATACCTTGAGAACTTCAAGAGGATGGCATGCAAGTGTACTAACAATTCCGGCGGCTGCACCAGCCACAGCAACTGGAGAAATCCAGGAAAGAGAAAAGTTGACATTAACATGACCAATTTGCAGTTTCGGGCTTTCATTCTGTTTCCATTTCTCTTTTGCTGTTGTCACTGCTCGCTTGACACACTCAAATGTTCCAAGCTCAATTGCTTGGGTGGGAATTATTCTAAGCATGTTAATTCCATTTCCAGCCCACAGTCCTTGCCAACCTTGCTGCTCAATGATCTCAATAAAACTACCAGAAATGTTTTTGGATCCCACACCAACCACCATTCTGGTCCTGCATATGTCAGAAATTATGAGTCAATTATAGATGTTCCAATACTTCATAAGTAACAAGTCCTTCAGTAAATTATCATTAAATTTCAATAAGTCTTTTAAGAACAAAACTTATCAGAAGTTTAAGCTACAACCTGCATTGGTGAAAAAAGCATGACAGAGATTTTAAGCCCAAAAGGATCATGGCTTAAGGCTAAGTTAATAATGACAATGTGACTCTCTTCTAAGATTTCAAAATGACTTGATATCCAAAACTTTGCAAGTCAAGAATATATTACACCATAGAATCAAAACAAATGGCACATACATCCAATCCTATGAACCGAATACACGAAACCAGTTGGGTTAAATTCACAGGAGTTCAATACAAGGAAAGAATATAGCGTATCTGAAGCATCAGCACACTAAAACTTTGCTCCATTGTTATTATTATTATTATTATTTTCGTTTTCTTTTTTTAGGAAAAAGAACTAACATCGAGGGTGACAATAAGTGAATAGTACCAAATTGGTCTAATATCAATCAGTGTTTGCAGTTTCTTTCAAAACTTGAAGGATCTGTATAACTGTAATGTCACATAGAAATATTCGAATGCACATTCAAGTTCTCAAACTTATACCAAAATGTTTTAACAGTTGATAGAAGTTTGTCAACCCAATTAAGGAAAAAAGAAAAGAAAAGAAATCGAGAACCATGTTTAAATTTTTATGATCAAAATGGAAATAAATTCAATGTTCTGATATTTAAAATCTTGAACTATTCTGTGAGTTATATAATACACCTCCCCCGTTCAAGCTTCCATGTAGTTTTCATATTTTTGTTTACAAATTTAATGCTGGTAAAAAAAAATATAGACTTACTAGATACCTGGCTAAAGAAACATAACTATTAGATATAATGGCAAAGGCAAGAACTCTGTAAAATAACAAATGGAACCATATAACAAAACATGCTTGGCCAACCTGATGGTCTCTAGAGGAGCGAGAACAGCTTTAGTCATAGCCCCTGCTAAAGCTCCACTAAGAAACTCACCAACTTCCCTACTCCTCAAGAAATCCTGAATCACAATTAAAGCATGCTGGTGTGATATCCCAAACAATCTTTTGGACATTATACAGCATTCAATCAAAAGGATATGTAAAATTCACGAAATCATTTTTTTGTTCCCTTTTTTGGTTTCAGGCAAACAAAAGATAGAATTTATTTAAAAAGGTAACCATCTTAAATGTAGATGTCTTTAGATCCATATAATCTATTCCACTGTCGACTGCAAACGAAAATTTAGGAAAACATGCAATGAACTACATCAAAACATAGATTTATCATAACTCAAGTTGAACTTTTTTGTTTATAATACGGGAAACAATCATTTGTCCATTATAGAGCACTGGATCATAAAGGTTCATAAAATACATGGAATCCAGTGAGAGAGTTTTCCAATAATGAATTTGGTTTTAGAGTTTAATACAAACAAATAAAAAAAAAAAGCAGAAATAACATAAGAATCTTGAATTGAGATATCTATCACGGCTGCCAACAGCAAACGAAATGCATTCAATGAACTACAGTCAAAACAAACATTTTTCTTAAGAAGGGTGCTTTTTGTTAATATCTTTTATCTTTTATTCAGCGTGATTCATTTTTCTCTTATTTTCCTCCTCATAATTATCAGCACCCAAACGCTTTATCAGAGCAAATTGAAAACTATTTGAAGCAGAAAAGCATCGACTTTATCAAAGTCTAAGCATCTCCTGAATACCGCACCTTTTGCGTTGAAAAAAGTGGGGGATTCCACAGGGAATTTATTCTCTCTTTCATATTTTGTATTTTCCTCCATTTTTCTCAGCACCCAAACAGCAGCTCAGAACAAAAAACTAGAAAACAAAACGAAATAAAGGGGAGGGGGGCAGGGAACGAGAACTCACCCGAATGGGAACCCCGAAATCGGGGACTTGAAATCGGACCTCAAAAGGCCTTGGAGAAGACAAAGCAGAAGGCTTGTCGAGTTCTTCCAGCTCCTTTGGAACAACCAAAGCCATGTTCCCGAACACCCTGTAATTATTCTTCTGCGATTCGAAATCCATTTTCAACATCATTCTTGTTATATTAAGACTATAAATTTATTACCCACTTTTTCAGTTTTCTCAAAGAAGAAAAGAAAAAGACCCAAGGAAACTTTAAAGCAGAATAAAGCCACCACTCTTTTGATCGAATATGCAAAGATCTCTTCTTCGCGTGCTTTGAATAATAATAATAACAATAACAAGAGTAAGAACAAAGACTAAGAGAGCAAAGGGAAAGGGAAAGGGAAAGGGAAGAAATTGACGTGCCTGAGACGGAGCGGTCGATTTTGGGAGCATTAGATACTTTGGCTCTCTTGCTTTCTATTTGTCTCACAAAAAGGGAGGGAATTTGGCATCTTTGATTTTCTTTTTAGGGTTTTTTTTTTGGTCCCCTTTTTATACTAATTTTCTTGTTTTAACACTAAAAGAGGTATGTAAGTAGTAGGTAACTTTTAAGAGCACGTTTCCTAGTTTGACTCATCGCCGAGTCCCGACCAAAAAGAAAAATTAAATATTTTGGACTAACTTGTACTTAAATTGTAAATTTATTTTCATAATTTTCTTAAACAATTAATTCCAATCTTGTTCTTACGTGTTACTAATAATGTACCTTTTGAGTGCAGTTTCATATAAAAATTAATTATTTTAATTTTATTTTTTTGAATTATGGATAATTTGAGATAAAAGGTTTAATCATATATATATATGTGCATATATGTGAAAAATATTTTATGTTTATCGAAATTTTAACCATTACATAAAGATACATAATATTGCATGTTTTTTGCTAATATACGATGTATAATGTGCATGATAAATTAGTAAACCTAACTATACATATGTATGCATATACACATATGTAAATAGAAAATTTTGATAAAATTTACATTGGTATCTATTGTTTTTAACATAATTTATAATTTTAAATATATTATTAAAAATACGAATTTTGATAAACTATTTGTGAAGTCATTAAATTGAAAGACATTTTCCCAATTTGCATATGAGCAACGAATCCTAAATGGCAATGTTATATTTGGATTATTTCTCTTCCAAAATTTGCATTTCCAAATAGAGAAAGATATATTGGGAATCATACTTAGTTACCAAAAAAAATGCTATAATTAATAATTTAACAAAATGCCATAACAAATACAAAGTTACCATAAACATTTTTGGTATATAATTCCATTAACCAAAATTTTATTAAGAAATATCTAATGCATTTGAGCATTTTAGTGAAGAAAAGGAGAAAAAGGGTAAAGAATTCAAGGCTGAAAATAACTAGATGATGACAAATCAGCTTTTGCAAAAAGTTTTCTATGACAACGAAGGGAGAGCTTCGAAAGCACCACAAAAAATCCCAAAGTCTACAACATACGGTCAGCATCAGCTGGCCTTAATGCCATGTGGCTGCACTTTGGCTCTTTAGATAACTATTGTAAATGCAAAGTATGGGACCATTTTAATTTCAGGGGAAGAGTCAATGGATGAGAATGGCTATGACCATCATTTGAAACCTAGCTGTCCCCTGACACAACTTGTCTTTGTCTTTATTGCTATGTCCAAACACTTGCCCTTGCCTTTTATCACATTCTTGCAATATTGGAAAACGTGCCACCTTTTTTTTTTTTGTTTGTGCTCAGCCCATTAGATCCGATTTAATAGATGAATTTCGATTATTTTGGTTAAAATGGTTAGTAGGTTAAGGGATATGATTAACTTGATTTTAAATTTATTAAAAAGTTTTCAAATTGATTAATCGAATTAAGAGATTTTAAAACAAGTGAAAAGATGCTATTCATAGGAATTTACCTAAATCATGTAATTTTCAATTGAATTAAGATGACTCAAATTAACAAATTTAATAGTTGGGTTTGTACCGTATTCATGCTATTATAATTTATGCATATATTATATTTGTAAAACCCATAATTCAATATTTATGACTTGTAATAATTTTTTTAATAATATTATAAATTTTTTTAGTAAAAATATATAAAATCAAATTAAATACATTATACATCCATCCTTTTAAAAGAATAATGTTATTTTGTCTAAAATTTAGATACACTGACTCTTTACAAGTAGCATGAATATGTTACAAATATATATGCATTAATTTTATAAGTTACAAAACTATTCCACTATCCAATGTTTTAATATTTGCATTATAAAATAATAAAATTATATATATATATATATATATATATATAATCTTTGGATGTCTATTGCTATAGGATAATGATACATATAAAAAATTTGTTATTAGTATTTATTTTTTTCTCTTAATTAATAAAAAATAAAAAATAAATTTTTTTTATCAAATCAATTGAGATGGAATTAACTGATTAAGTCAACTAATCAATTAATTTAATTAATGAGTAAAGTCAGTCAGTTTGGTTAAAATGTGTATGAAAATCGTTTAAATCAATTTATAGTAATTAATTAGTTAATTCGGTTAATGAGTAAAGTTGATCAATTTAGTTCAAATGTGTATGAAAATCAGTTAAATAAATTAATAGTAATTAATTAGTTAATTTGTTTAGTGAGTAAAATCGGTTAGTTAGGTTAAATTGTGTATGAAAAACAATTAAATTAGTTAATAATATTTTTGATCAATTTAACCGATTTAATTGATTGCTCGCCTTTAAAGAAAATGATTCAGTCGATAAATAATATATATACACTAGGCCAATCAATAAACATGTATCAATTGGGGATGTAAATTATTGGAATGTGCCCGAAATGGGAAATCAGGAAAAGTAAACAAAACTCATTGTTTTGAATCCAAGTCCTCTTCCCTCAATCCTTGTCTCTACTCACACAAATTACCACTTGTCTATTTTCTTATTACTAGTTAAAACATGTTTTGATTTTAATTTTTAGCATAATGCTTAAAAAAACCCTAATAATGATTATTGTTGTAGTGACCAAAGTTCATACTTAATATAAATGAGATCAAAATCCATAAGTTTGGTAAATATGGAGACCAAATATGTAATTTAATCTTGTCTTACACAATTGAGAGAAAACAAACAAAACTTTTGCTACTTGCTTTTTAGTTTTTTGAAAAATTGTTATAAAATAAAGAAAAAGGTTAAAAAGCAATATGATTTAAAATAAACAAATAATTAAAATGTACCACTTATAAGCCTCAAATTTTGCACCTTATACTTTTACAAGACAAAAGAAAAATATAAGGCATAATATATAAAAACTCTTAAACTATTCAAGAAAATTTAAATAAATTCTTATAATTTTATTATATTTAATCAAGCTTTTATACTTCCATTTTAAACCAAATAAGCTCTCTTTTTTTATTTTGAGTCAAATAAGCTTTTATAACTAATAATTGACTTAGTTAAAATGTCATTTGTTATTTTATACTACGTAATATTGACGTGGCATGTTAACATATCACAATTGATGATGATGTGACATATTAATGTAACGTGATAATATAATCATGTGACATTTTTACCCTCCACATCGTTGTCATATCAATTTCATATGGATATAATATGACAAGTGGTATTTTAATTAATAACAATTAGTTAACTATTAATCATAAGAGTTTATTTAATCAAAAATAAAGTCTAGAAGCTTAATTGAACGCAATAAAAGGATAAAGTCTTATTTAAATTTTATTGAATAATTTAGAGGTTTTTTTTTAACATTATACCAAAAAATATTTTTCCTTGAACTAGGTAAAAGTTATTGCTTGCATTAGAAGTAGATAGTTGATTGAAGTTGGCATGTGTTAATCGAAATTTCTAGCAATGATCAACACTTCTTCATGAAAATTGAACTTTAAGCTCATTTGGATAAGTATGAATTTGGATTGATTCATGTCTTTCTTATCTCTAAAACTACCTAAAGTGTCAATGGATAGTGCCTTGTGTTGATCAATTGATAAGTGTTCAAAAAGGTAAAGATGAATTTTGCTAGAATTTCATTTTTGAAGAATTTGTCACTATTTTGAGCGTCGAGTGACATTGACTTATCTCCAGATTGGATAAATTTTTATTGGCATAATACCTAAAAAGGACCTTAAACTTTTCAAAAAAATTCAAATAAGTTCTTATTCTTTTATAGTGTTCAATCAAACCCATATATTTTTATTTTGAGTCCAATAAGCCATTATACTTATCTTTTCTGTCAAATAAAACCTATTAACTAATGATTGACTTAATTAAAATGCCACTGATCATTTTATACCATGTGAAATTGATGTTACATGTTAGCATGTCATAATGGATAATGATACTGCATGTTTATGTGGCATTATTTCACAATCTAAATCTAAACCATGATTGGTCCCAAGGCCTAATAAGAAAGGCTCACTAAACCTATGTAAGCCTCGTAATCATATACATCTGGTTAAAAATCTTACATTGAATACACACTACCTTTACAAGTACATTCTAGACATTTATATTTCGTATCTCAAATATATTAGTAAAAAAAAAAAACTCAAATACGTGTAACATCATTTATCGTACATATATGTGATCATCTTACATCCATAAATCCATATACCAAACCATAGTTATGTCAAAGTGTGCTTTAGTGACTCATAAGTACCAAACGAACAAAAAAATAGATAGAGGAGTGGCATTGGGTGATGATATAATCTACTAAATGCCATGGCAATTACCTAGCAAAAGGATGGATAGAGACCCTTTTGAGACTTAAACTCCAAAGGTCTACAGATTTGAAAACCAAAAACATGATTTTGAAAAAAGTAAGTGTATAACCTAGTAAGTGAACATGGGAAAGGAATAAGCATACATATGGATAAAATTTATAAAACCATTCCAATAGTTTAAACCATGCATATTTAGCTTTTGAAACCAAATCCATGATGTAAACATGCATCATGGATACCCATGACTTGAGGTATTGATACTTTTCATCTAGAATGCCATTAAATGTCCAAGTATCGATACCTTGAACACAGGGCACCCTTGAAGTGTTTTCTAATGACCAAGTGATAATTCTATTTTATATAATTATTTTTATCTCAAATTGTTCTTAAAAGTTAGCTAAGTTTTGAGTTTAGGTTAAGATTTAGTTATTTTTTTAATTATTTTATTTTTATTAAGTTATTTTATTTTATGTTAATTTTATGTTTATTTGCCTTAGTTTAGTTGTTACTTTTTATTTTTTATATTTTGTCGAACTTTAAAGGAATAAGACTCAATTTGGTGAAGAAAAGTGTTTAAGAAGCCTAAGCCCTATTCATACATGTCATGGTATTTTGAACACAAATTTCACTCCAAATGTCCAATTGAGGTGATTCATGAACCATTGGAAAGCTAAGAGATAGATATACAACTTTCATGAGGATTACTTTACCCAGTTCTGCTTGGAAGATGGAGAAAATTACATTAGA